GGTCCGGCTGGTCCTGGCGGGCCGGACACACCGGGCAGCCCTCTGGGTCCGGGCGGGCCGGCGGGGCCCGTGTCCCCCTGAGGACCGGCAGGGCCCTGCGCTCCGGCCCTGCCGGGTGGCCCCCGGGGTCCCACGGGTCCTGCAGGGCCGGGCGGCGCGGGTACGGCCAGCTCCACGGCGGTGACGGGGCCATCTTTCAGCGCAGAGGTTTTGGGCGGCTTGTAGGTGGACGTGAAGACGTCAAACTGTTGGGCAAGAAAGTGTCGTGTGTTAAACTTAGAAAACTTGCCTCGTCAACGATCCTTTAATATGTAATAAACGCTGTACGTGTAGTTGACAAATATCAGAGATTTTATATTTTATAAGCAAAATTTGTGCAGGTGACGGGGCCGTCTTTTAGCGCAGAGGTTTTCGGCGGTTTGTAGGTGGACGTGAAGACGTCAAACTGTTGGGCAAGAGATCGTCGTGTGTAAGAAGAGGACATGGACAGATTTAGAGGTACACGTGCAGAAAAGGGCACAGACGGGTTGACAAATACTAATTTTAAGGGAAATCGCGCGTATCGTCTTAAAATCTTACCCACGTATAACATTAACGAGAGATTTGATCGACAAAATGTCACGTTGACTTTCCACAATACTGCGAAGTCGTTACTTTGTCATATTTGTTCCTGGGAAGTAGGTTACGGCCCTTTCTTGTATCGCTTTCCGAGCCCATTTCCATCCCCCAAACCCCAATTCTTTACCTTCCTTTCAAGTTTTGTCATCTTCTCCTCCACGATCTGCACCTGGTTGCAGCTGGCTGCGCACCTGTCCTTGGCTGGAATGCGCTCCAGGTGCACTTCCGGTCTGGGGGTTTCCGTCACGGTAGCTAAGGTCAAGTAAAAGATAATAGTTCTGTTACACCCCTTTCTAGAAAGGTTGCGACCACTGAGCAATGTGACATGTCGCTCAACGAACTTCGTACATAAAGAACTTTTTTTTTAATCAACATTTTGTGTGTTTTTTTTCTTTCGATTATATATGATCAATTTTGGTTGCACAACGCGCGCTCAGCGATCGCCGTCTTGCGGGAAGGGGACCTTTCACAGTCACAGAGCAAGAAATATCACATAAACGTTTGACAGTTATTACACGTAGGAATGTGATGTTGCGACGTCTTGCTTAGGAACACAAACAATCATCTCCAATGCATGCCAGTTACCTTTCAATATAAGCCTTTTCACCTCACTGAAAAGTGGCGTCGGTGGCGCAACGGTTAGAACGTTGGACTCGGAACCGAGAGGTCCCGGGTTCGATACTCACCGTGGCCCGACGTTGTGCCCTTGGGAAAGGCACTTTACACGACTTCCCCACCTATACGGTGGAGTGACGCCCACCGAGCCTCTTAGGCTAATCTGTCTGTCTGGGTGCCAAAAACACCTTACGGATTTGGTGCGCCGATGTGACAACATCTCATATTGGCCACTGAGATCCGTTAATTTTTTTTTTCACCTCACTGACTCACTCACTGACTCACTCACTCACTCACTGACTCACTCACTCACTCACTCACTCACTCACTCACTCACTCACTCACTCACTCACCAACACCTCTACCGCAAAATTAAATCCCAGCGAAAATTACGGAGCTTACAGAACCTGTTTCCACACAGGTCTTGCTGTCGTTGCTGAGTCTGTACTGCTGTTTACACGCACAGCGGTAACTTCCCTCCGTGTTCACACACAGCTGGGTACACCCGCCGTTCTCAAACTCACACTCGTTCAGATCTGGGGAGGTGCAACAATTTACGGAGAGGATCCTCGTTAGCAGGTTTAAATACATGTTTGTATAAGGACTAAAATGACAACGGCAATGATCTTTATTGCATTTATGCCTAAAAGACCTAAGTCATCATTCTCATCAATCGCTAAATATAAAAGGATTAAATGCAGTGTGCTGAATAACTATAAGAGGAGATAAAAAAAAGAAAGAAGTATACAATCCTATGATATATATATAGTATTGCATCTAAATATTCACTAAACATACCTCTTTAAAAAAAATTGCCTAGGCTTTGGTCCCAAAAAATATATGTCAACGCATTTAAAGAACTAGTTCGTCGTAGGTCGTAGTGCGATTTTGATGCCGAAGAATTTTCAAACAGGCTGTGACAGAACCAACCACCGACAAGGATCCAAGACAGTCTTTTCCGAGTAATAACACGTCTGATAATTGCACGACTATCCCAAGAATGCCCTCGGTTCGCAATCACACGACGATCGTGCGACGAATGTGACCGTGCCCTTACCGATACAGTAGGGTTTCTTTCCCGCCAAGTATCGCTGCTTGTCCAGCTGGTATCCCGGGTAACAGGTGCAGAGGACCCGCCCGAAGTTGTTGGTGCACTGCTGCTCACAGGGGGTGTCCGCACACACGTCCATGTCTGTAGGAAGGGCGGGGGTAGGGTAGTTTCTGTTCTGTTTTAAGCCTTTTTATCTGGATTTTTTTTGCACTGGAATCTCTTTTTATGGCTTAAGAAATTATGCCAGTGCAAAAAGAAAACCCGGTGAAAAAGCAAAAAAAAAAGCCAAAAAATAAGCCCAAACCCAAACTTCTGCTTGAAGAGTAGGATTAGGGTTATGTATCAAACTTTTCTTTCACAAGGTTTTACCTCTGTTTATCATTCATATGTAAACTTTATGGCACGACATGTTATCGAATATTTTCTACATAGCAACAACGTACATAACACTAATCTACCTTAAAGGCTATTTATTATGGGACAAGAATGTGCTTTTGGCATTGGTGGAATTTCTATCACTAATGCATTTTAAAAATGTTATTACAATTGGCGTACATGTAACGTTCCCATTCAAATGTTTTGGTGATTTATATGTTGGTTGTAGTGCACGTGGTTTACTGTTCTTGTCTACAATGCTGTATACTAGTTGTCAGTGTGCGGAGGTCATCACATGTAGTTTAAACTCTACAATTAAAGCAGTAATGTTTGGGGCCCAGTATGGCAGCTCGAGTGGACTTTGATCTCAAACTGTGTACCTCAGTAAATATAAACAGTGTTAAGTAAACAACGCTCGATTAATCCATTTTAAAACGCAAGACTACTCCATACAATGTGCGCAAGTTTCACTTAACATAATCAATAGCTGAATGGAGTTTCACGGAAATACCGCAAAGGCGCGTAAGCTAGGCCTATAATGCATCTAGTCTATGCACTGATATAAATCAATAGTTGATTAGTAATTAAAAGTAAAAAAAAGATATCGATAATGACAGTGTTGGAAAGTACTCTTTAAAAAGGAATGTCGATCTGTATTGGTTTTTCACCATGTTTCAGTATCAGTATTGATTATTTTGAATGGTTGGTTTAACAATCCCCACGGGACGCCCTGTGCGTGACCGAAATATCCACCCTGCATTCATAACATGTTTCCCCGTCCTATGACTATGCATCAGCAGCAGTGATGAGGCAGCTGTTGTCGGCAGGGCGTTACTCAACAGTCACCGTAGTGTAGTGGTTATCACGTGCGCCTCACACGCGCAAGGTCCCCGGTTCGATCCCGGGCGGTGACAAGTTATTTTTTAGCTACACAACCGAACCTCTGTATCACTATTAGAGTAGTTTTATAGAGCTAATGTTGTTAGATTAGTATCAGTAGACCTGTTTGTACTACAAACATGTATATACATTTGCATCTGTTTACCTGTACTTAGCCCGGTTGGGCATGGATGTACAATAAAGGTTATCTAATTAAGGTTCAGTTAAGATTAACTTTTATTACCGGCTTCGCCTGAAGGTTTTGTTTTTGGTAGCGCTTCTATGTATGTTTGTGTGTATGTGATTTAGCACGATAACTACTCAAGAAGCTATGAATGGATTATCATGAAACTTGGACACGGCGAAATGATTACATCATTTTAGCTACACATCTATGATGTGATTTCTACCTCCATGGTTGAATCAACTCTATCCCAAAGAATACAATTACACAAGTAAATGTAAATATATCTTTAGATGTAGCGGCTCACACACCTTCTGATACACAGCGGCCGAGTACGTAGTGATAGCCGGGACAGCATCTGCGCCTGAAGGAAAACAACAACATGGATGGATTTATTCCATTCCATATTCAATATGTATTTATTGAACATTGCAGGGGAGTCAGAGAATTGCATCCAATCCGTGACGGCCCCTTAAACTAAATTCTGTCACAAACTGATGGTAGGAATTCTGACAGGCAAATGGTCAAATGTAATCTCCAAGCAGATCCTAGGGTGGCAAAAGACAGTATCAAATTGGCCAGACAGTATCCATTCGCCAGAGAGGGTCCAATGCGCCAGCCTTGTATACAGCCTGGCCAATTTGATACTGTCTTTTGCCACCCTATGATCTGCTTGGAGACTAGGTCAAATGCAATTATTGTACGTCTCCTCTGTAGACCAGTGCCAGCTCATGAAACATAAACTTCCCCGCCTTCCCTAAAGCAGGCTCATGATATGTTTACATTCTTGCCACTTCTGTTTACTTTTTTCTTCTTCCGTTTCATTTTGGATCATAATGGGGGGTGACTTTGAACTTCCATCTAACCCCCGGACTATTGTTTCGCCTCGTTCGTTCCAAAACAAACTCGGGACGAAGTTCAGAGGCTGCACTTGACCCGAGGTGAACCGCATAACTGAGAACGTCGTGCGAAGAAGTTAACCCGGCCAATTTTGGACTGGATGTTGACGAATATCTGTGAGGATGTGGACGGATTTGCTGCCGCTATCACGCTGTTGGCCTTGTCCCAGTTGTCTGACGCACGGTCACGACCTGTCAGTCGCACTGAAGCACAGGTCACAGTAAACTCATGCAGCGCTCAAGTTAAGCCCCTGTCACACATGGACAAATATCTGTATCTGTATAGCGCTTCGTAGGCACGCGGCGCGGCGGCAGCTGGCTATATTACACCGATAGACTTGTTACACCTAACCCTTGAACTTCTAACTCTAGACATTGTTTAAAGCTATCTAACGATAATGCATAATGCCCCTACTGTACTTGGTGACATGGTATATGGCCTCCTCTCGAACACTGGCTAGCTAGCCGAACTCTCCTAACCATGTCCATGGTCAGGAGTAGGTCGGGAGCAATGTCGGTTGTTGTTGGCATGTTAAAATCCATTCAAATTTACTTTCATCTAAAGTCAACTCTCAAATACTCATTATTACACAGCTATATCTCTCTGAAACTAAGCAATTTAACAACTGATTTCTACTTCTGTATTCATTTATAATATCTTAATAGCTAAACTCTGATCTCTTGTTACCTGGACGATACCCATGTTTTGTGATGTCATTTTTATTTTATGTCTAGTGGTGACGTGAATATAAGCATGCTTCTTGAGCGCGTCACCACTATGTATTGTATTTTTGCACGTTGAAATAAAAAAAATCCCTTCGGGCGTGGACGGTAGGTTCGGCCATGGATGGTTGGTGTTCAGGAGGAGGTCAGCAGTGTTCGAGGCGTGCTCGGGGGTCAAATTTGACTTAAATTTAACTCAACAAATTACTAGTAGATTGATTTCTATAGAAAGGTAGGCATGGCCTAAATCTGGTCAGACTGCTACCGAACTTATAAAGCCAAGCCTAATATTGGACAAGAGACCGGTGGATCAGTGTCCTTCGCCCCGAGTCCCTGCCTAAGTAAGGGTGTCAAAGGTAAACCCGCACAGTTACGTGTCAGAAACATCTATCAGACAGTGGAATGTTTGACTTTTCGCTGGAGAGACATTTCCTGTGGATAGATCACTCCGCCGTTTACCTTCCTGTCTGTCAAACACAGCCTCTGGACGGCGGCCCAGACATGCCGGGGATGACAGCCCGGCAGTCTGATCACACAGGGGATGCCGTCGTTTTATGAAGTTCTTTTCCCTACTCCTCCTAGCACTCCCTCCCTATCTCCTCTCCCTTTCTATCTGTTCTTTCTTACTTTTCTTTTTCCTTCGTCGACGTCGTTTGATGGCACAGTTTTCCCGGATTTTCCTTTTTCTTCTCTCCCTCTGTATCTTTCGATCTCTCGTTCATTCTGATCCCCTTTTCTTTCTCTCTTTCTCTCTCTCTCTATCCCTCCCTCTCTCTCCCTCTCTCTATCTCTATCTTATCTTCACTCTTCTCCTTTATTATCTTCTTTCTCTTTCAATTTCTTTCTTTTCCCTTTCTGTCTTTCTTTCGTTCTCTCACCTCCTCTTTTCTCTCTTTGTTCTTCTCATTTTTAGAGCTCAACTGGGTGAAATGGCAACTATGTTCCTCAGACCAAATTCAGAATGACCCTGGAATATTTAAGCACAAACTAAAGGCGCACTTTAAATTGCAAAGTTCCTTGTCAACGTCTAGGTTGTCACTACTTGCTCCACTCTCCATATCCTTGAGTAAACGGTGCCCGCGGTGTTGACACGCGAGTTAAGCCTCTTCTTACAACCTTCCAGCATCGTGTGCGCTTTGTTTCCAAGTCACTGCCAATAACAGGCTATCTGTGACACTTAAAAGGGGCTCTCCACTCCAGAAGCTGGTATTATTTTCTGATAGATAATATTTTGGTGGATACAAAGACATCCGACTTCTGGCTAAATTACCCCAGCTGCCTTTTCGACAATAATCCTGTTTCAAATCCATGTACTGTTTCCAAGTCACTGCCAATAAGAGGCTATCTGTGAGACTTTGATATGGCCTATCAAAACACTACTTACCTACCTGACTAGTCCCATGGCCGACACTGGTCAAAATACTAATAGTACTAAACCTACATGGCTTTGGCCTCTGATAGAAACTGTTTTAAACCTATTCCTTCCAATTTCCCTCTATCTAACGAGGAGCTAGTACATTGTTGTCCTTACCTGAAACATTTGGCCACGTTGTTGCCGTCCTTGTCTGGACACGGGTACACTTCCGTAATGATCTTATCCTCTGGACATCTCAGATGATCGGGATCGCTGAAACAGTAGGAACATCACCATGTACGTTAATAATTCGTTAATACAGTCCCGAGGGACCTAGAGGAGATGGGTTTTACTTGGGAGGGAGCTAGAAGGCAAGCGCTGGACAGAAGAGAGTGGTAAGTAGTGGTGGTCCGCACCGTTGATACAGGGAAGCGGCGACGGCGATGATGACTACTATCAGGGAGCTTCTATTCAGTGTCCTTGCTACTACAGCTTCAGGATGCTTTTATCTTTTAGCTTCCACAAAGCCTACGAATGTAGGCTTACGGGCCTGGATAAATCTTAAGAAGAGATGTTACGTACTTAAAAATGACAGGGGCTTATAAGGTAAAAAGCGAATTCGAAAGAAGTGGATGGAATTTCATGTTTATCTCACTATAAGCTTCCCGTCTACACAAATGACGTCTTGGTAGTTAGGTTAGGTAGTTGTGTAGATGTTAGTCCAACATAGTCACAGCTTTTTAGACAAGACATTATGACTTCTGCACCCATTTGGTTGAGGAACAAGGAGCTTCAAACTCTGTATGAGGAAAACTCGTCATGAAACTACGCCTTTTATCATCTCCAAGCAGATCTTCGGTGGTATCAGACTGCAGTCAGATCTTGGTCACAGTCAGAAACTATCACAAATGTTGTCCCCCAAAAGATCTGCTTGGAGATCACGCCTGACCCCCATCTCATCTGTGCAATGTGAAAATCGGACAGACACATAAGTCACTACTGTCCAGCGACAGGACAACCACGTACCTGTCAAATGTTTCCTCATCGAAGTACGACATAGACCGCACGTGCGTCGACGCCGGAAGCAACCAGGTTGCGAGAAATATCACCAAGGGCACGTCACAGCCACAGGTCCGGAGCAGGCCGGCGGCGCGCATTTTTACTCACAACGTTTCGAGATACAGTAGCACTGCTAGCCTTGGCACTACCGCAGCAACACTGCTGTCATACGGACCACTGGCCCCGTATTTCAGCCTCGCAAGTCTCCCTACAAAACTGCTGGCGATATTTCATCGGCGCTTTCCGCAGTGGCTCGCCAGGCGCAGTTGGCCAAACAAAAGCGAAGCTCCAAGTATTCCTGGCATCAAACAGGGAAGTCCTGGTGTCAGCCCGCGAACCGCACGAACCGGGCCCGGGGGCTGTTTTTGTCAGAACTGCCAAGGCCAGTCCTGTGTCAAGCCATATACATGATCCTGCCAAATACGTGAGAGGTCTGGTGTTTAGGGCTAGGGTTAGGGTTAGGGTTGGCTTTAGAGTTAGGGTTGGTATTGGAGTTAGGATTAGGGTTGGTATTAGCGTTAGGATTAGGGTTGGTATTAGAGTTAGGGTTAGGGTTGGTATTAGAGTTAGGATTAGGGTTGGTATTAGAGTTAGGATTAGGGTTGGTATTAGAGTTAGGATTAGGGTTGGTATTAGAGTTAGGGTTAGGGTTGGTATTAGAGTTAGGATTCGGGTTGGTATTAGAGTTAGGATTAGGGTTGGTATTAGAGTTAGGATTAGGGTTGGTATTAGAGTTAGGGTTAGGGTTGGTATTAGAGTTAGGGTTAGGGTTAAGTTGGTATTAGAGTTAGGGTTAGGGTTGGGATCATTGTTCAGGGCAAGGGATAGACTTACGATAGGGGTTAGGTTAGTTTTAGTCTCCCACATCACGACCAACTCCTTGTCTCAGGTATAGTGGAAACCCCCAAGTAGTGTCGGAGTCATGTATTTAGCAGGATCATGTACTAGTACGAGTATTTGGCGTTACGCCGGGAAGATGCCAAATACTTGCAGGCGTTAAGGAGGTGACATTGGCATGCCCTACTTGGAACACAGGGGCGCGATGTACTTAGGAAATTGTCACAAAGTGTCGTCTGAGCCGTTGCCATGGTGACAGACGACGTCAGTTTCCGCCGAGGCGGGTTTGGTTTGTTTTAGTTGGACGTCAGAAACTCCGCATGAAAATACACAAAAGAAGACTCAGAATATAACGTTTTGCCTGTCAGGCTACAAACATAACGACGTGACAACACTAAACTGTAGACGGACAGGTTCACTTCCAAGCAGACGGACCATAAAAAACACAGAAGAGTACATAAACAGGCGTAAAACACAGAGAATATAACGGATCTTAACATCCCGATTTGGTTGATGACAGCGGTCGTAAGAGCGGTGTTGATAACTAGCAGCTGTCAACAGGTTCTTTAGAGTTCTCCATGAAAAGTGGAGCTCGAGTGCCAGCCATGAAAAAAGTCACCTGTTATGTCAATCACTCCATAAACTGGGGTCATTCTCAATAATCAAAATAGGTAAATAGATTTCCGTACTGTCAGGTACACCCTGCCAGCTGCCGCTGCGCCTCGTGCCTGCAAAGCTGGTATGTTACGCCGAAGGATGGTTATACCGGCTATACAGATACAGAAGCTGGTATGTTACACCGAAGGGCGGTTATACCGGCTATACAGATACAGAAGCTGGTGTGTTACGCCGAAGAGCGGTTATACCGGTTATACAGATACAGAAGCTGGTATGTTACACCGAAGGGCGGTTATACCGGCTATACAGATACAGAAGCTGGTATGTTACACCGAAGGGCGGTTATACCGGCTATACAGATACAGAAGCTGGTATGTTACACCGAAGGGCGGTTATACCGGCTATACAGATACAGAAGCTGGTATGTTACACCGAAGGGCGGTTATACCGGCTATACAGATACAGAAGCTGGTATGTTACACCGAAGGGCAGTTATACCGGCTATACAGATACAGAAGCTGGTGTGTTACGCCGAAGGGCGGTTATACCGACTATACTGATACAGAAGCTGGTGTGTTACACCGAAGGGCGGTTATACCGGGTATGCAGATACAAAAGCTGGTGTGTTACACCGAAGGGCGGTTATACCGGCTATACAGATACAGAAGCTGGTGTGTTAGGCCGAAGGGCGGTTATACCGGCTATACAGATACAGAAGCTGGTGTGTTACGCCGAAGGGCGGTTATACCGGCTATACTGATACAGGTACACGCTGTCCCTCTCGATCAGGTCTATTGTGTATGAACCTGCCTCGCGCGCTGCGATGCATCCATGGTCCGCCAGGGGGAGAACTTAAGGCCGACAATGTGTACGTTTGAACTGACAACAGCAGCACTACTGCTGTTACACTGCAATTACTGTGTACGATTCGGTGTAAAAAAATGGTATAATGACTTGCATGCCGAACTATGTGTAAAACGAGTTAAAGTCTGTAATTAACGAAAGAAGTGCATTCTTTTCATTTCAACAGGCCCGCCTATCCATGACTCATTTTCTGTAAGCATATTTCATTGAGGTAAATGTGAACGATAAATAGTTGCTTAAAAATCTTACATCGTTTTATTTGAAGAAACATTGGACATGAGGTAGCAGACCGACGTTGAAAGTTGAAATATAGATACTCTTACTTTTTGCAATACAATACCACTGTACAGTAACAACCAAGGTGTTATTTGATGCAGTCTTGATGTGCAATGAGTAAATTACCACAGACTTTGCCGCACCCATACGTAATACTTACACGGGTGTTACAGGCAGTTGAGAATCATTGAAGAGGAATATAATCTAAATTCGTTTACTTTCGCGGTGGGTTTATTACACAGTACTAGAGAAAGGAATGCTATCATGCGGTATTTTAAATTCGCGATTGAAACATTTAAAATGTGTTAGATAGCCAACATTGATGTCATAAATTTTAGGTGGAGTCTCCTCGAAAATAAAACCACCGCGAAAGTTTCGTGATCTACCAGAAGTGTTACGTCATTGGGCGATCTCCAGTGCTCCAAACAGAACCCAGGTGGTTACGTCATGCCCCACCCACCAATCAGATAATCGTTGTGACGTCAGTGGTAGGAAAACCGGTTTCAAATGACCCCGTGATGATGATTAAAACATTCACACAGGTAGTTGTCTGAGCACTAGTACTGTGTCTCGTTCTTTTGACGTATATTTTAAAGTATCTTCTCAGATTGTGGCCGAAATGAAGACTTCTACCCTGATCGTTCTGTTGCTGGGGATCGCGCTGCCATGCTTCCAGTCAGCTCCCGCGCCACAAACTTTCGACAAAGACACGGAAGCCAAACGTAAGTAAGAATTTATAGAACCAGGTCATCAGGCTCGGTACATACAGTTTCTACCAGACTAACAACATACGTTGGTCAAAAACAGTAAAAAGCATCCAAACAGGGGGAATAATTGGCCAAGGGAGTCACCGTCGTGGAGTTTATTTGCCATTCCCGTGGACTGACTCTCCTGGGCAATCAATCTTCTTTTTTTTACCGAATTGTACCCCAGTAGAAAGGCCTGGTGCAGGCTAAGAATCGGTATGGTTACATTGGTAACAACTAGCCTCGTTTGCAGGCTCTATGGGGGGTATTATCGGGCTTTTTTATATTTCAGTCCATACCGCAAGGTATGAATGAAATATATTGTGTTCCCTCGTGTTTCTCCTTCTTCTTCTTCTTCTTCTCCTGCCACTCGCTCTGAGGGATTCAACTCCGCCATCATTCAGCCAAATGACCCAAAATTTGGCATGGAGGTAGAGTGGGCCAATACCCCCAGGCGTTTTTTTTCATTTTTTTGAAACATGCCTTTGAAAAATTTTTATGATGTTTTTTTGGGGCATTTTTCGCCAAAAAATGGATTTTTGGATCCTGAGCCCTGGTTTTACAACCAAATGATCTGAAATTTGGTATAAGGGTACCTTGAACATGTGTCTACAGAATAGCAGTCACATATTTGGCATACACCACTTCCAAATGACTCATTTGGGGGACTTAAATGGCAATTTTCAGCAAAAAAAGGGCCAAAAGTGCTGTACCCGTTCCATGTTCTATCTAAAGAATGGCGGTTCCATCCATGGAACACGTGTTCCATTGCGGGTTACCTGAGGTCACATTGCACCTAAGTGGTGCGTAATGACCCACAAATTCAATTTTATGTGCCTAAGACCTTCAAAATGTATCAAATCTCATCATTGTTAGTTTTTGCATACCTGTAATAAGATTAGTAAAGCTTTTGAGATTCAAAGTACTTGTCGTTGCATCTTTGTTCTCATATAGCTACTATTTAATTCATTTATTTGAGAACCTTTGCCAGTTTTGCACTGGGGTAAGTTTGGAATAGTCCACTTTTGCGTGGGAGGGAGATGGACTGAAATATGCTGTATTTGCTCCCAAGCAAATGTCGGCCTTTCTAGTTTATATTTATTTTCTATTAGCATATCTGTTCTCCGTATCGGTACAGGTTTATAGGCGACACACAAGAAACCACGAAACAAATCTTAGAACAGACTGAGCCGTCCGCAAAAAAAATATACACCATTAGGCCCAAAAGCGTTACCCGTAAAGCCTGATAGCGAGGCTAATGTGCAGACTACATCAGATTCACAAATACGGATATACAGCCTATTCAGTATGACATGGAGAGTTAGCCTGTTAAGTATTACACAGATGTTGCTGCTGACATATATTCTGTACGTAGGATGACGCTATTCATACATGTACACTTAGCTTTGTTAGATATTTAGCTGTAGAAGACCATACTTAAGTCCTTGTAATTTTGTTGTGTCAATAAAGAATCTCTTTAACTATCTTCCTCTACTGTTTTTCCTTCAGTGATCGCCGCGCTGAGAGCAGCGAAGGGGCTGAAGATAAACCACCAGGAGGTGAAGGGTATGGAGACAATGATTGAAGACGAGGAGGCGGACAAAGACCCCGAAGCAGAATGTAGGTAGTCTGTAACTGTTGGAACGTTTATGCCGTGTACGCGTATTGATTTTCTTTAATTCGTCTGGGTACATCCTATGCAGTTTACTAGGCCACTATTTAGCCAATTTCTACTGTTTCCATGCGCTTCCCGAAGCCTGGTAGATGCAAACATACGTGGGCTGTCGTCGCTAAAAGTACCTGCCTTGGTAAAGAAAAGAAAAGAAAAGAAAAGAAAAGAAAGAGTTAGGAGGCTAACTAGGCCCTGAATATGTCCACTCAAGCCGGATCCGGAAATGAAGATATCTTCCTACCTAATATATGATTAAAAATTCTACTATAAATATTCTGTCTCATGATGCTCAGAAGCGTTTAGCATTAACCTATGCATCTATTTAATTCTTAGTATGATCAGAATTTATGACATTAACCTGTGTCTATGTAATTGTTCTCGACAGCGGACACCGTCAAGGACGAGATCGCCCTGGCCTTCAAGCGGATCATGATGATGGACCCAGGCGCCGAGATACGCCGTATGTATTGTTTTCATTCCTCTAAACAAAAAACAAACAAACAAACAAACAAACAAACAAAAAAACAACTAGGAAGATATCATCTACAAAGCATATGCATCATGTTTACCTTCGCATATGGTGTGCTCTGTTAATTCTTGCTCAAAAACATTCATATCATATGGTGACAGGAGTCTAAATCCCTCCTGCTATAAAAATGCAACATTTTGTAACCCAACACTAGTTACCATGGTGACAGACGTCTGGTTCGGGTCATTGACCTTATTTGTTTGGAACGGAAGAAGAAGAAACATATTCATTATCATCTTTAATTCTCTGGTACTGGCCAAAGTATGTATGGGGTGGGCTACGTTTCTCATTTAGGCCTCTTCTGAGAATTTCCTCCTAGACTAGTAAACATTTTTGTGAACGATAAACTGAACGTTTCCTTCCATCTCTTCAGTGAAGGACGAGGTCCGCAGCATCATCGGGCCTGAAAAAGCGGAGGCCGTCTTTGAACAGGCGGAGAAAATCATGTGGGAGGAGCTTCAACGTAAGATTTGCTTTTCGTAAATTACTTCTTCTTTTTGTTTACTTTAAAAAAAGAAGAATGATACACCGTGATACACAATATTACACTACAGCTCATGAGGTTGTCTTTCAATGTCTTCTAAGTGACAAACTGAGCGATGTTAGATTATACAATATATTAGATGGCTGGGGAAGGCTACTTTGATTTTATAAATGTCAAATGAGCCACCAGCTTAAATAGATAGAGTTCTTTATTCACAATTACCTGTCTTTACTCTTGTTAAACAAGCCTCTTCAGTTAAACAAGTGGTTGTGAATAAAGAACTTTACAATTCGATCGTTCATCAATCTAATGATAGAATTATTCAGGGATAAGCCCCGATATTGTTTCTTTTTCTCATGTATAGCGTGTTCTACATGTGTTTTAAAAACGCAATTTCTTGTCCCGACAGAGCAAGCGAAGCTTGACAAAGAGCTGAATCTGAAGAAGAGCGAGAAGAAGGCGTTTGGCAAACTCGTGAATGACGTGGAACACGGGAAAGACCCGCTTCACGAACGTAAGTTTTACCGAGACTGCCAAATACGGTCATGAACATCAACAATCTGTCTGATGAAGATCTTCGGTCAAACCTGCCCAAGGCGACCACCTCTGCATATCTGGTCCCTTAAGTGGTCGCCTTGGGCAGGTTTGACTGTACTTCGACTCATTTTTTCCTCGTTAAAAATAACCAAGTAGCCAACCTTCAATCCTATCACTTAAACCTTGAATACTTGGATACGTTTCATGTACATGGCATTATGTACTTAATATGTTTTTTTTACATTATGTGTAATATTTTACATTACTTGCTCATGCCTAAGCTATGCCTGTTTGTATTGTCTAAATAATTTTGTATTGTGCTTTGTTCTAATGATACTAGTAGTACGAACATAAGCCATGGGCTTGAGTGTGTGGCGTCTACACTTTTTGTCATTAAGTGTTAAACAAAAAAATACACCCATACTTTCCGTCTATGCGTGTATGTTTACAGAAATAAGCTGCAATCATTGTTTTTATTGTTACTCATGATTAGGTAAGAAAATCGAGCAGAGAATGAGGGAAGACGCTGCCAAGATTATGGCACTGTCCCCGGAGGAACAAGAGGAAGGTTAGTTCTGTTCAAAATTTCTTAATTGCTGAATTTCTTAATTCACATTGCAGACTTCCGCTGAAGCCAAATTTCCAAACCGGGACCCGGTCGGGCAGTCTTATGGAACGAAAAGTATGATATTAAGACAACAAAGCACAAAAAAAGTTTTAAAAATTAATAATGGAACTATTTGCGTACTAGTAAATTGTTGATTTTTCGTTAATCGAAACAGCCCGGCCTGGCCCGGGTTTGGAAATGTGACCTCAGTATTACGTCTGTACATGTATTTACAATCAATATGTTGTCTACTACAAAATCTACTCTTACGTATACAAAACAACGATATTTCTTAATGATAAAAAATTTATTACACACTAAACCTATCATAGCTGACATCTCTTATATTTTCTGTTGTGGAGTTGCAAGAAATACTTTAATTTCTAACGAACGCTCCATTTCTAGGAACTGAAACTACAGAGCCACGAAAGATTTGAAGAGTTTTAGAAACTTCAACTGGATTTTTTTTTGTTTACAGAAAAAGACATGTTCTATGCAGAGTACGGACAAGAAACGGGAGATAAAGTGTTCCAAGCGCTCAGAATCATCCACGAGGCGGCAGTAAAGAAAGGTAAGAAGAAATCTTTGTTTGTTTGTTTGTTTGTTTGTTTGTTTGTTTGGCTGAAGCAATGCACTTACGCATGTACTTGTGATTTCGTCGAACAATCAATAAACAAATCAATATCTCTTGATTTTCCTTTTAGGTGCTGCTGTCAAAGCCGCAAAAGTGGAACTGCAGGAAGCGAACGCTGCCACCAGCTAAAGGCAGGAGGAAGGACAGCCTCTACCAGGCTTCGGGAGGCGGCTGGAAAGTGTAGAAATTGGCCAAATGGATATATAACATGCATAGGGAATTGGTGCGCTATAGAGAGTACGTTAGATGTGGCAAAATGTACTCTCTAGCGGACCAACTCCCCGGTATGTTATCTCTCTAATTGGCCAATTTCTACTCATCGGCCGCCTCCCGAAGCCTGGTAAAAGCTAGAACAGGGGACCAGCGGGGCTTCCAGCGCCTTTAGGAGATATACAACTGTTGTCTGAAGCAGTAAACAATAGGAATAGGTGTACAAACGTACGGACGCACATGGATTCAGCTCGAATTTTGAAACTGGCGATTTCGTTGATCTTTTGTTTATTTCGGAATCCTTTAGCCATACGGCTAGTCTTACAAGGCTCAAATAAAAAATACATATCGCAGGCAATGAAAATGTACAAACCTACAGATTACAGAGTTCAAATAAGAAACATAAATATTGCGTACAACGAAGGTCTACAAACACAAAGATGCATGTAACAACGATGTTAACAGCTTCATAATGAGACGTCTTAACTTGGGTAGTGGAAACAAACGGTGGAGAACTTAATGTTGACTAGATGGACCGGGTAGGGATTGAATGTAAAGTAGTAATGTGTTCCATGGATTAACTACATGATAAAGGGAGGTTGATTTTTTTTATAAATTTTTGGACAAATATAACGTTAACCATAATGCCGATATAGAGAAGTGTACAACTTTTTGAAGAATTGTTATCGAACCAAATTCTAAATGTAAATGCCTAATTTCAATTACTTGCTACAGAACGCCTATAGGCAGAACCTACAATCTGTATTAGTATTATTGACTAACAAAGTAGATGAAACTTAAGAGACAATAAAGAAGGAAACTAACAGTGTATTCGTCCATACTAATGGTGTGCACTTTGTGTCCTTTAAGCTTCACCGGTATAAAGTTAATTTTAAAAGAGAAATGAAAATAAAGTCACTTTGGTATACCTGAACATAGTTGTACATTATTGGCATCAGTCTGCTGTACTAGTTTAGACATTTATTATAACAATCATTCCATATCTTTTCAACTACTTATGATGTTCAACCACAGTCTTCTTGTTTTATCCATTATCGAGAATTTCTCGCTGATTTTGTCTGTGCATTTTCCCACTGGCTCCCATAAGGCAACCGACATTTATGTAGCAAGAACTAAGATAAAACGTTACCCTTCTACGAGTCTTTGACATAACGTCCTGTCATGGGGTCGTGTGGCATAAGTGAAGAGTGCTCTACTCAGAACCAAGAGGTCCTGGGTTCGAGTCCTGACCTGCCACCGACCTTGAGCTCTTGGGAGGGAAAGGCACTTTACATGACTTTCCCCACTTAACTCAAGTGAAATGAGTATTGTCCTGTTCTGCACAATGCACTCTCACATGCTTAACACCTTTAGTGTGCCCCTCCTGCCCCGAGGCTATCTAATCAACTACAGACTCACGCGCACGCTTAGTCAAAGCAGCCCAACAGGTTTCCAACTAGTGAAATCCGGCCATTTTTAATGGCGACGTTTGAACAAATGACTGTGACGTCTTGCCACCGTTCATAGAATTTACATCGACGTTTTACACAACTACTTTGAAGACCGAAGGCTGTGCGTTTTGAGAACATGGTGGTTCTACGGTTTTTGGTGATCGCTATGATGGCGACGATGGCTTTCTGCGACGAAAAACCGGGATGGTTCCAAGGCAAAGAGAACGACCGTAAGTGTGGCAAAATATCGTCTGGCTACTTATATTTATAACAACCGTATTTCTTTTTTGTTTGTTTGTTTGTTTGTTTTATTTAGCCAGTGTGGCCTATCTCTGGATTGCATATGACTTGAATACAAACAGAATGAAATATACAAGTGTAAACATACACAAAACTTGACAAATTAGGCTATTACCAATATTTATAGTCCATAGATTCCAGATCTAGAATGACACTTTTGGCAGCAACACGACAGGCGCCCTCTCGACTTCTGGGCGATTTTTAGATCTAGACCAGGCCAATATTCATGTAGATTGTACATCTTTTATGTAAGCTCGAAACGCAATTTTGAAATTTGGTGACTTCTAGTTGCCAATAAAGACCTTGACACGGCAGGAGGTCTTCCACACTGTTACCCCAACATTGGGGGATCTCTCGTACATGTGATGAGTGTTCAGACATTTGGACAGACTTGAATAGCCTCCTGTGTGTGCTACTTTATTTCGCTATTTTTGTCAATGTATTCACTAGTAACGTTATGCTTTATATATTTCCATGTGTGTCGTAATGTCTATAGAACGGGCCACAGGAAGAATAGCTACTCGTACTATTTTGTACACGTATGCTAAATGTGGACCCCGTCAAAGTAAAAGACAGACTTAAGAGATCAAGTTTTATTTCCAGATCTTTTTGGTAGGATATTTCATAATTTCGCATTTTAAACTTTGCTATTCTTGTCCCGGTTATGGAAAGTTCTGAGAGCGCTGATGGCGGCCAAAGATCTGCAGTGGAACCAGAAGGAGGAAAACGGCGTGAAGCAGATCATAGAAGACATTCAGGCGGGCAGAGATCCGACGGAAGAGAGTAAGTCTATTTTATTATTTGCCTAATTCTGTCTTTGAAGCGCTCAAATCCCCCTTTTAGACTAGATACCAGACCCATACCACGCTAGGTTTAGAGTTTGGATCAGGGTCTAACTGAGGGGTTTGTGGTATAAATTCATGTTGGCCCTGGAGTTAAGACGCTTACTTGTGTAGGCCCTAGAAACAATCTGGCACCCAGGCCTGTGAAGCTGATGTAAGTTTGCTTTATATTTCTATGTTTACCCTCGCAGAAGGAAAATGTATCGTTTTTGCTCTTTTTAATCTTCTTCAAACAAAAAGGCCACTGGTTTAGGGCTGGAAACAGTGGAAATTGAACACATTCGAGTTCGATTTTTCTAGCCTCTGCCAGGCTTCAGAAGCGACTGGAAAGAGTAGAAATTGGCCAGATAGACAGACAACATCTCTGGGGAATGAGTCAGCTAAAGGAGTACAGTTTGCTGCTCTGAATAAAAGGATTATCTAACCACTTGGCATCTATTGGATAGCGATTTGTGGACTTCAAAGGACAAGATGACAGGCTTCAGAGTGGCAAAGCTGTACTCCTTGTCCTGCAGGCATTCCTGGCACAATATTTTTCAATAATTTCATGTCTTAATTAGATCATAGACCCCCAAATGTTTTTGCCCTGCAGTGGCATAGCTCCTTCCGCATTCGTTGTGCTTCGCTGCGGTGTGATGCGTTGCACGAGAAATACCCCAAATCGTACCTATACAGGGTGCTATATAGATGGTACTGTATGTGCAGAACAACAATTGTTGTGCTCCGCAGGACCAATGAGCTCCTGAGCGGACATGTTATCTGTCTGTCTGATTCGTGAAGTCTGGTAGAGGCTAGCAAAATCGTCCTCCGAATGTGACCCCGTCTTGTCGTCAGTGACACCTGTATGACGTCACCACGTCGGTAAAACAGTAATGCGGTAATCATGGTAATGTGGCCCGCGTGACCTTTTCCGTAATCAGGCGTTTTCATTCTACATAATCTGTAGGCACTCGCTGTGATTCATCTTAAGGTCACACCGATTTAATTTTATGGATGACATCATGGAAGACATACGTAGAATGTCCAGACTGTGCATGATTTACAAAATGACTAATAAACTGGTGGATGTACCGACCACTAAGTATCTGATACCAGCCCAGAAAAGAACAAGAAAAGAACAAGATGCCTTCAAATATCAGAATTATCAACCAAGAATTGAGGTATCCAAAAACTCGTATTTCCCCAGACTATCGTAGACTGTGACTCGTTGCCACCAAGCACAGTTGGGGCATCATCACTAAAAAAAAAAATTCGAAAGTTTAAGTTTAAACAACTCCTGCAATCAAATGTGCAAAGGTTGAGTGTTCGGTGTGATATAGCTAGCTGCCGCAGCGCAGCGTGCCTGCGAAGCTGGTGTGTTACGCCGAAGGGCGGTTATACCGGATATACCGATACAGATACAGATCAGTGCGCGCATTAATTTTTGCCTGATTTTGGGTTATAAGTATAAAATCAACGGTGACAGAAATGTCCAACTCATGTATGACCTTTTTCAATTCAAACAAAAGACACCAAGACCTGTAGGGTAACGTCATAATGGACTCAGAGACGAGGTTGTTTTTACGGATAATTAGACTCATTATTGCCCTAGGCATCCAAACTACGCCAGCTTTTGTTGTTTGGTCTATATGGCGTGTGCAGTAGCTCCATCAGTAGAGTGCTCGCTTTGTAACCGGGAGGTCGTGAGTTGAAAGCCCGGCCGGGTCGTATCAAAGACTTTAAGAACGGTACTTTCTCTGCTTAGCACTCAGCATCTATGAGAAAGAGTGTGGGAAGGTCAAACACACAACACTACCAGCGGGCTAGCCCACTGCTGTAGTGCTTGCACAACTGTGTGGCCCAAGGTCTACAGAAATGGAGATGGGCGCCACCTCTATGCTCTGCACAGAGTGGAACGGGGACTTATTGGGCAATTTGGCATTCGAGTACTCTTAACGTGCTCTTAACAAAGGATTAATGCGACCTGTTACATACTTTACCGACAACACCCCCCTCCCACACACACACAAACACACTCAAAACAGTACTTCATATATAACAACGTGTATTCTCCACACAATTATTGCAGGTGAAGTCATCCGGATGGAGCTGGCATACGCCTTCAAGGACCTCATGTCACTGAATCCATACCGCGAGGAACAAAGTATGTTTCTCTGGTGTTTTGTTATCACTATATTTTATGGGATTTAAGGCTATTACAAGTGTATTGACACCATCACTTACTTAAATAATCATAATTACAATAACAATAATAAATGGTGTTGAGCTTATCTTAGTTTACTTGTCTGATCTATTAATTTGCTGACTCCTCTATCCCTTGTGGTTGATAATTCCCACAAGTTTAGCAAACAGACATGTATAGTACATTCGATAAATGCTTGTGTTTGTTCTTACAGATCTTGTAGTACTTCATTTATAACGAGTTAATAAACGAGACGAAATATCCCCTCATATTCTACAACTGCCCCACTCTCCTGCACACGTAAGTCTCAACCAGGCTTCGGGAGGCGGCTGGAAAGAGTAGAAATTGGCAAAATAGAGAGATAACATGTCGAGGGAGTTGGTACGCTAGAGAGTACAGTTTACCGCACCTGAAGAAAAATTTACTCTCTCACGAACCATGCAGCTCCCTCGACATGTTATCTCTCTATTTGGTCAATTTCTATTCTTTCAGCGGTCCGAAGCCTGATAGCGACTGCAGCACACATAACATGTTCTTATTACCTACAGTTAAGAGTTGGTTCCGCCAGTTCTTGGGAGGCGACCTCGCCAGTGACGTCTTTCAAGAAAGCGAGAAGATCATGAACGAAGAACTACGAAGTACGTAACAGACTTAGCCTCTACTAGGCTTGAGGGCGCGGCTGGAAATAGTAGAAATTGGCCAAATAGAGAGATAACACGCAGAGGGAGTTTAGCCATCCAGTTTACAGTTTGCCGGCCCACAAACTGTAAACTGGATGGCTAAACACCCTCTGCGTGTTATCTCTCTATTTGGCCAATTTCTACTATTTCCAGCCGCGCCCTCAAGCCTGGTAGAGGCTATAACAGACTGTTGTTTCCTTTCATGGTGTACAAGTTGAAGATTGGAAGAAAATAACAGATAGGAGTGGCATTGCATAATGTTCAAAAGCTTATGGCCTGAATTTGAATTTATGTGAATAATCAGAGTTTGAGATGTATCTACTGACGTATAGCTGTGCTCATAAGTATATATATGCTGATATTTAGAATAAGAATGAATGCTCTGTGTTAATGGAATAGCTATAGTAGCCCTCTACTGGCTTATTTAGAATCTCTGGCTATGGTCTAAATGATATAAGCCTACAAAAGATTTTGGCGGGGGTATATCATCAGTGTGTATCTAACAAAGTTTCTTTCAAGGTTTATATGAATAGGAAAACTGTAAGATATATTTCTACAGACCAGTCCGCACATGGATACTATCTATAATCGATGTGAATTTGTTTCAGAAAAAAGTTATGTTCAACATCATCTGGACTTCAGTCGTCGACAGAAGGGCGCGTGGAATCACGTGGTGAGCGACGCGAAACGTGATCGTGACATGACGGACCACAGTGAGTTCTTATGGTCTTCTTCTTCTTCGGTACTGCCTAGCCCCATAACGTGGGAGTATCGGCAGCTTGCGCATTGATTGTTTGTTACAATTGTGATCCGGTACATATAATCAAATGGAAAGATAAGCGGGAATGGAATGTTTATAACTGATTTTATGTGTGCTAAGGACGATACAAGTGAATCAGTGCGTTAGTAATATTTACATATATACAAGACATGATGGGGTGGCTCAATGCAGCAGGGTCCTCGCCAGTTCAGATTTGAACTGGGCGAGAGACCGCACCAGGCTCAAGTTCGTTCCATTCCCTGATGGTGCGGGGGAAGAACGAGAGCCTGTAGAAGTTGTTTCTGCTCGCGATGGCCTGCAATATTTCTTTTTCCTTTATTGTTGTGTTTTATTGTTGTAACCAGCTGGTAGACTGATACAGTGGCTTCCCACTGGGAGACGTAGAGTGGGACGTCCTTATACTACACTTTTGTCCATGTTAGAGGGAGACACTGGTCTCGCAGGGACTGCATTAGTGTCCGCTATGAGAAACAGGACATACTGGAGTAACTTTATCAAGTGTACCTCACTGGATTAGTATAATCCGGAGGTATGATGATGATGATGATATTGTGTTTTCCTTCTAACTTTCCTCGCAATGTCGCTTTCTCCTTAATTGTTGCACAAATGCACTGTTGGGCTGAAATATTGAGTTATTTGTTTAATAACTGTGTCACATCATCTTACAGATAAGAGCATTTTGAAAAGAATCAGCACTGACGCCTCGAAAGTTTTTGCGCTACCCCCGGAAGACCTAGAGGCAGGTCGGTTGATCCAACTTTTGTTTATTTCTAAAACTATTCACCTACATATTCTAACATAGCACTAACTTGTCCATAACTTGCTAAATCTTATCGAATGGCTTGTCGATATGGATCTTTTAGGTTCACACCTGATCTTGTAGCCTGGTATCCAAACCTAGTTTAGCTGCCGAGTCTCTTTCGTCCTCTGTTCAAATTTGTGTATTTCGGAGTGAAAGAAAGAAAGTAGACAGCTAAAATAGATTTCGATACCATATTACTGTTCTTGGCCTTTGTCTAAATACATAGGCCAGTAAATTGTAGCGATTATGCTGGGGTCACATTTCCAAGCCGGGGCCCGGCCGGGCTGTTTTGATTAACGAAAAATCAACAATTTTCATAAAGAATATACGTAAATAGTTCCATTGTTGATATTTTTCAACCTTTCTGTGCTTTGTTGCGTTTTATACCATATTTTTCGTTCCAAATGACTACCCGGCCGGGCCCCGGTTTGGAAATGTGACCTAAGCATTACACGGAATTATGACTTTCATTCCACAGAAAAGGCGATGCTGGTGATGTCTTACGGTCAGGACACGGCAAACAGGATAATGAACGGCATCCAAGCTGTCCATGACGAGGTCAGGGGAAAAGGTAGGGTGGTTTGTTGTTGAGTTACACACGTACACCCCTTCCGACTGTGCACTCTCCAAGTAGAATCTGTGAGGCAGGGGACCTTTAGCCTCCACCAGGCTTTTCTACGGGAATACGGATCGTAGAATTCGGCAAAGAAAAAGGAGAGTAGAATTGGCCAGGGGAGTCCGGCTGCAGAATGTTGTTTATTTCCCTCCCTCCGCCGGTTAAACCCCGAAGGCGGCCAAACACCCGTGGCAAATATTCTCCTATACAGCCAGCGTAGTTAGTCTGGTAGAGACTAGGGCCTGCATCCGTTGCACGCGGGGCAGCCAATGGATGCAGGTGGCCAATATAGACTCACCTTGCCCCACAGAATCTGCTTGGAGATTTGACTGGCGACCAAACGCTTCACAGGTTGCTCAACAAATTTTACAAAGAACTAAAATTTTTCATGTTTGGTGTGTTTTGTTGTCATTCAAAGCATACTTTTACATCGTGCATATTCCAAATGTAGATCAAGTGTCAGTGTCAGAACTGGTGGAATGGTGGCGTCTTGTAAACATTTCGTATTTGTCATTATTTGTTTTAATTGTTGAATTGATCTACATGTTATAACTATGTGTTAAACGCGCACCGTTTCAGCTCATGCACAATCGGAAGCCGAAAAGGCAATGAAAGAACTTTTGGCAGGACACCCTGCCCAAGTACAGCCTGTAGCTGCAAAACCTGGACAAGTTCAGGCTGCAGATGCAAATCCTGCACAAGTACAGGCTGCAACACGCACACGAGAAGATGCTGCCGCTACAAAACCTGCTCAGGCACAAGCTGCAGCTGCAAGACCTGTTCAAGTACAGGCAGCAGATGCAAAACGTACACAAGAAGATGCCGCAGGTACGCAAGGAAAAAGTGCAGCTGCAAACCCTGCTAAAGTAGAGAATGCAGCCGCAAAGCGTGTTCACGTACAGGCGGCAGATGACGATGACGATGATGATGGTGCAAACCCTACTGAAGTACAGGTTGCAGGTGCAAAACGCACACCCGAAGATGGTGCAGGTGCAAAACGTACACAAGGACAGGCTGCAACTCCAACTGAAGTGCAGGCTGCTCGATCACAGCAAAATGCTGCTAAACCTGCACGTGGGAAGGCTGCACAAGGAAAACCTACTCCAGGACAGGCTGCCTAAGTCAAAGTAATTGCAGAATATAGAACTATTTTTAGACCTGCGGTAAATGGTTCCAGGCGTTACCTTACTGCAGGTATAATTTTTTTTAAATGACAGGGTGTAGAAAAATACAGCCATAATACATAACATACAGACATTATACTGATAAGAAGAATCCTTAGAGACATATTGTACATAGATACAAGCATTTCCTTATGTTCAGAGTCCGCTATAAAACTGCCTGAGTTTTGAAAACAAAGTAACCAACAACAAACCGAAAGTTAGAAAGTGGCTATTGAAGAAAGAAGATATAGAGGTAACACGTAAAAAATAGGCAAGTGTGAAAGATTCTATACTCCTAGTGAAAAGCACTACAATGATATGATTCGCTACCGTATTATTGAAATTTATGGTAATAAAATTTATATATGTAACTTTATATCTTCATACAGCTTGTTTTCTCTGAAGGGGTTATGAAAGCAAGCCTTCCATATTGCGATAAACAACTCCATGTATCATTATTTGTACATTTGTGTCTCCAAATCACATAAGCAATGCAAATAAAACAGAATGACTTTGCAAGTATACGCAGTGTTTATTCCAGTTCAATGATTTCATCATATATACGTCGACCATATCATTAAACAAGGAGAAAAGCATGATTGACACACACCCATGTTAACCAACCATGCATATAATCAGAAATACAGTCAACGTTGCAGTTTGAGGAAACGATAACAGTCCGTGATACCGACTGTCATTGCTAAGATTCGCGACGTTTTGTAAGATTATGATTTTGCTTTACTGAAAAATCAAATAGAAATCGTTAAAACGTTAAAATCGTTAAAGTAACACCCGACGTGTCGTTAACAAACGTCTTCTACCGACATGACCTTGAGACATGACCTTTAGACATGACCTTGAGACATGACCTTGAGACATGACCTTTAGACATGACCTTGAGACATGACCTTGAGACATGACCTTGAGGCCCTCCTCAGTAGACCAGTTTGAAGCTATCCTGCCTGACTTTGAAGGAGATTTTCTTGAGCTTCTCGCAGCCTCGCCACGGCATCCAGTTGATGGTCTGAACCTCCATGTCTGCCTTCTTAGTCTTGTCGAGTTGTTTTCCTAAGAAAGTGCAAAGTCTTTGTCAATGGCGGTTAGTCTACCAGGTAATGAGATACACAAGGAAATCGTTACACATTGAAACAGTTTTCGAAATCTATTCAGTTGCTTTAGTAAAAATTCCCTTGTGTACTGTCTTTGTTTCCTGGTACTGATGTTTCAGTGACCGCTTGTCACCTTCCTCGGGCACTAGTACTATAATCGGTTCTACTTTGCACTGAAGCTACATGTAGGTGTCGCTGCTGCATGCAGTGTGAAGATGTGATGTAAGCTAGTGAAACTATTGAAAGCTGTGAGTCTGTTCTTACCAGTGGGGTGAGCTGCGTAGCCGTTCTCATGGTACCACCAGCCTCCTGTCGCTACAACAGCCCAGGCCAGTTTAGTCTGAAGTCAAGACAAGAAAGTACAAAGTTTACTGGTCAGAAAATCCCTAACTTAATCAGGCTCGCCACAGGTTTTACTAGTGCCAAACGTAAAACCCTGTTTTCTATTGTATCGTTCAGTAACTCTGGCGCCTGGCATATCAACGTATTAACGTTATGTACGTCGACAATAACGTTTGTGCTCGTCTTATGAGGATGATTGTAGATACTTATTTATTTATTTATTGACTGATCTTAAAAAAAACAGTTGGGTGGTACCTTCAGCTTAGGACGACTGATACAACAAGTATAATTGCGAGGCTGATTTGCTCTATGTTTCCTCAGACAAACAAACAAACAAACAAACAAACAAACAAACCATTACTTAACAGAATGATCAAATGATTCAGAGCTGAAGAAAACTCACGTTTCCGTCGTTGTCCTTGTCCTTGACGCTGAACGGTTTCCCGTTGTGGAAGAACAGCGCGTCTCCAGCTGTGCTCTTGGCGTCGTCGTACTCACCTGAACATGAAACACGGGTAACGTTTTAACAATGGTACGTTTTAACCTTTAGCAGATTGAAGTAGTCGTTTGGCTGGAAATTCTCTATTGGTTTACGGCAGCAGGAAGAAAGTTAAAAATGCCACAGGCTGTCTGACCTGCCTTTAAACAATATAAGACATGTTACGTAAAACATGTAAGATTTTGTAAATATGTCATGTGTGTCTTGAAGGACCACAGGAAGAATAGCTACATTTGTTGTAAGCTAAATGTGGATCCCAATAAAGTCAAAGTCATGTGACAGGTGCTCTTAATTATATGGATAGGCCTAAGTGTCTAACAGATACTGTAATTTAACCCTGCAGTTATGATTCGCTGCTGTACTCTGTACTCACCAATGGTCAGCTTGTAGTTGCTGGCTTGATCTCCGACCTTAAACTCCTTGTACATTGCCGAGGCCTTCGCACCTAAAGGATGTGTACAAACATAAACAATAACGGATGATCTTGTTGCTGACTATGTTCACTGATCTCCCAAACAGAGGAAAGATAAAATCAGTAGTTTGATCAGAAGTCATATTCAGTAGATATTTCGGCAATAGGCCATTTATTCCTGTGCCTTTTGCTCTGTTTTTCACCCTTAAAGGATAGTTGTGTATGTATTCAATATAGTATCTGTCTATCTGTCTGTCTATCTGTCTGTCTATCTGTCTATCTATCTATCTATCTATCTATCTATCTATATATCTATATATCTATATATCTATATATCAATCAATATCTATCTATTGCTCTTGCCCTTGCTGAGACTTGCTATAATTGTTCTTGCTTTTGTTCTCTCTCTCTCTCTCTCCACATACACACATACACATACATACATACATAGTTACATACATACATACATACACACATACATACAAATTATGTACACAACATCAGTGAACAGTTCGGTACCATCAAAGTCCTCCATCTCCACCAGTAGTTGGTACTTCCCCTGAGCCGTCAGCTTGTTCATGACGTCCAGCCCCATGATGAAGTTGGCGTCCGTCGGGCTGTCGAAGCCCTTCTTGTACGCGGCGAGATCCTTGTCGAAGTCCACCACCTTACTCTGGGACGCGTCCCTCTCCAGGATGACCGTCCAGCCTCCTGTAGGAAAAAGTAAAATCATAGCATCAACATTTTGGATGACGACCGTCCTACTCAGGCTCAATTTGATGGGTACTGGAATTATAGAAGAGCCAGATGTATGCACAACAAAACAGTTGCTCAAGCAACTGGATGGATTTTGAAAACTGTCAGACATTTCATTAGCCTTCAATACTTTTTGTCAGTGACAGGGGTGGTAGTGTTTGGAGTAGCAGCCACTGGCGAAAAGTAGAGATTTCTGGGTGGGATCTGCATATCTGGAGGTTAGGAGGTCTCTGAAACTAGTAACACGATATTCTCTCTACCACTACCAGGTGCCAGAGGCGGCTGAGAAGAGTAAAAACTCACCAAAGAGACAGATAGCATGCCAGGCGAGTTGGTCTACTAAAGGAGTACAAAGCGGCAAACTGCATCCCTTTAGCGGGCTACTTTCCCTGGCATGTTATCCGCCTGTGTTCTCACCGTCCATGGTCTCCATGTCACACTTGACGGGAGTCTTCTGCGTGTTTCCCTTGATCTTGATCTGCCGCTGCCCGCTCGTGACGGTCGGGTCCATGATCTTGATACCACCACAGTCTGAAATATGAAAATTAAATGATTTCTACTTTTATGTATTGTCATTTATGGTTAGATCCGTAGTTTATGTTTGTATCTGTTGTTATTTTCTATTTCTTTTCATTTGTATGTATGTATTGCCTAATTGAAATGCAATAAAAAAATCTATATTTGTGTGCTTTTGTTTTTCAAATAAAAAAAGTAGTACGTTTGTTTCTTGCATAATACTTGAATCATAAAATCAAGGGTCGCGCAAATCCGATTGTGGTCGCTGTGATCGCCGTAAAGTGGAACGTGAGACTGTGAACATGCCGCCAGAGGTTTCTCAAAAACTTTTAACTTAAGATAGATGCCCACATTTATGTGCATTTTGCCATCACAATCTCTTAGCTTGCTTTGATATTTTTTGATTTTCCAATCTTTCCCTTACTGTGCAAATGCTGTATGACCAGCCATGCACTCGCAGGCGCAGTGGTCATAACAGGCATTGCTGACCGTTCTGTCTCCTTGTACTTTGGCGTGCAAATAATTCAACTGATTTGTGTTTATTATTAGTTTAGTTTTGTTGGCAAAACACCCGGGCTCTGATAACCTATGGTCGCCCAATCGAAGTCCATTCCATTGTTCGAGTGCAGAGTACAAAAAGTGGTTGTAACGTTGTGGTCAATCTTTGTTGATGCCATGATCTGTTTCTTTCAAATTTTGTGAGTTCTACAATTACCATCCTCGTGAGGGAATGATGTAAACCCGTTCAGAAATTCTTATGGTTTTTCTGGACGGGGTAATATCGATGGAAATTGCATTGCAACCACTTTGAAAAGTTATTGACAACGACTATACAAGGCTGGCAGTATGATATCTGTACAAGTGACCGCCTCTAAATAGGAACAACCAGGCTAATGTGGCCATTTTTTGGTGGTCCCGTAAAGATTTTTCCCCATTGACACAAGCATGAAGAATCCTGTCTATAGTATAGTGACCACCTGTTAACAGACTTTAACCCCCTAAGTGGTCTTCTTGGGCAGTTTTGACTATATATGTCTAGCAAAGTTTCCTTGCACAGTTAGCAGCCTGAAGACGGACTGCACTACCCATACCTGGGAAATCGCCCTTGGACGCGTCGCCTTGCTTCTTGGGTTGTTTGTCCACCACCTTAAGTTCCGCCTTCTTCCTTTTCATCTCTCCTTCAAGGATCCTCAAGGTCACCTCCAGTTTCTTCAGCTTGGCTTCCAGCGCGTTCGTGGCCTTCTCCTCCTGTGGGATCCGAGAAGAAGACATAGGATTTCGGAACTTTCTTTTACACAACCAGTAAAGGCTCTCACCAGTAATGCTTCAGCCGCACAAATTTGTTTGCAAAAAGCCCCGAATATGGGCGGTGCGTACTCTCCAATCAGAGGTTTGGGGGTTTTTTTGGCGTGTTTTAAGTTTTTTTTTTATCAGGCTTTCTTTTGTGCGCTGGGGTTGGCGTAAAGCCCCAAAAGGCCCAAAAATAAGCCCAAATCCAAACCTCTGCTTGGAGAGTAGGCGGTGCGTACTTTAATCGAGAATTTACTTTACTAACGAAGTTCCCTTACCACGGCCGCCATGGCCTGCAGCATGTAGATCGTGACGTCCTGCTGGGTCTTCTCATCCGCTGCCTTCTTCTTCAGAGCCACCAGTTTTGGGTCCGTCTTCTGCGGACATGCCTCACCCGAGAGGGTGGCGGGGAGGTTGTTTTTGAGCTCGTTGGCGATGGCGCAGGCCCCGTAGGCGAGGCCTGGAAGACAGCAGAGGAGCAGGACAGCTGCTAGGTACGACTTCATCGTGCGGTACTCTGATTGTACAGTGTAGGCAACTTGTGTCCTCAAATTAGGGACAAGTGGGTACAACGTACGGTTGACATGGACCGAGCAAAGTACACTCTGGGTTTGTTTACGTCAGCATTGTGTGACATGTAATCTTCAAGCAGATCGAAGGGTTGCAAAAGACCTAAAGACAGCATCAAATTGGCCAGGCAGTATCCATTCGCCAGTGTCCCGACAATGCACTGCGCTAAATTTTGAGAGCTGGCTACGTATTACGGAAGCCTCTCGATTACGCTTTATGATAAATTCCAAGTGGCTACAACGCATTACGTAGAATTAAAACGGCGAATACGCTCTACGCAAAACGCGCCAATATTACGCTCTATGGTGAATTAGAGCGGTCCGTCTACGGTAAAGGGCATGATGCCCCCGATTATATCTAACCGTGCTGAAGACGACTTTCGTCGAAGCACCAGTAGTATCTGTTGACTGAGAACCAACATATCCCACCACTGCCACAATGTGTGCTCGGTTGTGTCTTAATGCTTGTTTTATGTGCAGTAGTTTATATGCAAGTTAATTATTGGACACTGTAGAACAAGTGGGCATTTCAAATTTTGCCCATTTCAAATTTTGGGCATTTCCCGAGTCCTACATCCTCTCTTCTTCGCGGAGAGGATGTAGGACTCGGGAGCTATAATAGGTTTGGTAACCAGGCTACATTTCAAAGCCTTCTAGTCCTAGAAATATTAACAAAACTACGAGATAGCAATATAGATAGCTTCTTGTGTTTTCAGAATAAACCACATACGATTTGGTACTGGGTGTTGATTGGTACAAACTTTAAGCTATTTTGTCACCATGTTGTCAGCGTGTAAGAGAAAGGGCGAAGGAGGTGACATGGCATGTTTGTATGCATGTTTTGTGAATTAGTCTCGTAATGTTTCGTCTGAAGTAGCTGTTTACACAACGCAAGCCATTCGCAATACCTTATTTGGAGTTCTTGCTCTGTTACATCATACCACACTAGGAACAATGAATAAGTATTGGCAGAGACATATTGCATTTTCCACGACTTTCGGACGCTGCTTATAGAGATTCTTTATTGACAGAACAAAAAGGACAGGGACTTTTGTATGGTCTTCTACAACTAAAGATCTAACAAAGCTTATATGGGGGCGGTGAACCAACTTTGATATCTTGTAACTCTCACTTTTTTGACATCCCATATGAAACACAGTTTCGCTGAACACATAAAGAAACTAATTTATCGATCTATGTATTGATGCTTGAAAGATGCAGTAGAATTGTATTCTATAAAGGTAAAAAGAGACATTGCATTTTTCACGACTTTCGGGTGCTGCTCATACGGGGGCGGAGAACTAACTTTGAAATCTTGTAACTCATCTCTACGGCAAATTGACTTTTTTAACATCCCATATAAAACACAGTTTTGCTGAACACTTAAAGAAACAAATTTATCGATCTCTCTATTGATGCCTGAAAGGTGCAGTAGAATTGTATTTTATAAAGGCAAAAGGTGCAGTAGACAATTGTACTTTATAAAGGCACAGCAATTCGTTTCGCTGTAATAAGATTTGACGACTTTCCTTACTCCACTCAGGTGTAAAATGGGTGCCTGACTTTTGGTTTGGGGAGGTAAAAGGCGGTGGAATTAAGGAGAGGGACGGACTCCACCTCCCAATACCATGTCCTAGACACAGTGGATTAACAACGTACCCACTGCCCCTACGGATTAAAAAAAAAAGGCTGTGGAACTATTAAACGTTAGCTTTACCTGTATCTTTCACTCCATCGTTATTTTTTTTGTCCGACACCCAACAGATTGAACTGATATGGTCTATAGCAGTGCATAAACATGAAAGAACGTACACCCACGTGGTGTGCGTGTGATTTCGCACGTTTGAAATTTGATGTAATTTGGAGCTTTAAGTTGTTTTTGATATTTTGCGATATTAGTCTCGTCGGGGCTTGTTTCATCCAGGCTGTGCGTATCCTAGCTGTGCGTTCTTTTGCCGTTTAAAAAAGGCATGGCTCGTGCTCTTTTCGCACATACTTGTTGCGCCAACTAAACATGATTCGCTATGGATACCATACCCAAGATGTCTGCATCAAGCCAAGGTATGTCAGATTGTGTTTTACTTTATGATTTCTTTTACAATGGTAGAGCGACTTGTCATTATATGTATCAGTTTTTAAAATATTGAATTAATAATTCTAACCGACTGATATTTTTAAAAGTGTTTTTAACAAATATTTTTAACATATTTTTAACAAATATTTTTAACAAATATTTTAAAAAATATTAGTCGCATAGAATTGTTAGAAGTATAAGCAACCTCCATATAACAAAGGTATCACAGGTATGTTGCCTTACTTTGTACCTGTTACAGTTATCGTTACGTCATTGAGATATGTGGTGGAAAATTTCTATAAGTGATATATGGGCCACAATAACGTTTGAAAATTCCACTACTGGATTCGGACGTTAGGGTTGATGTTACGGTTGATGTTTTTTTTCCTAGGGACACCAAATTTCCTCAACTTTTTGCACATTTCGCATTGAAGAGTGTGTTTTTGTCGGGTATGTATGTCATGAATAAAATACCCAGCCCGACCTTGGGTCGGATCGCCCGACGGTTATCACACGGGGTTCCAAAAATTCTATAGAATAATTCGAACGCGTTTCGAGTACGCCGCTTTCGAAAATTCGAATACTGGATTCGGATATTAGACAAATGTTGGCACATTTCGCATTGAATGGCGCGTTTTCTCGGGTGGGTATGACACAAAATACAACACAATGTATTCCACATCAACCTCGGTCCCAGCCCTCCCGCGGGTACGCAATTATTGATCATAAATATGAAAGTTTCTAAAACAATTCACAACATTATTTCTCTTGAGTCACATTAGACTAAAAAAATTACTATGAAAATGCAAGACATTTAGTGTGATTTAGATAGTGTTAGATGTAACGTTAGATAATGTTATTTATGTATGCCTAACTTTTAACTGTAACTGTTTCCATGTTACATGTAATGTATGTATGTATTTGATGTGCACGTTATCAGCATACTCGCTGCCTAGAGCACACCCCGTATTGTTGTGTCACAATTTTGAAGAAACAAAGTCACATCATATCACGTTTTTCTGTTTTTCAAACGCACATAAAGATCATAATTTTTTTGTACACCATTTTTTGTGGTAGTGTTAATGATCTGATAATCATATCTGCCAAAGCAATCACATTATATTAACGTTACATGTTTTGCCGTCAAATTCACATAAATATCACATTTGTACACCTGGTAGTGTAATGATCTCTTAATGATATCTGTCAAAGAAACCAACGGGTCCAGTGAACCCCCGCCCCTGCCCCGCCGTACAGGGCAGTCTGCCGATAAGCCTCCGGAAGGCAGCGAGAGTCAGGATGGGGGCTCTGCCGGGCCCAAACGTGCCTCAACGCTTCACCTGAACATGGGCGGCCACAGCGAAGAGTCGCACTCCGACGCGTCCTACACAAAGTAAAAAAACTAATGATATCATTTAAGAGTAAAATAACACTACCTGGGAGTAGAGAAATTTTCAACATGCTGTTATCATGCGCTTTATCTGTTTACTCTTTGCCAACAACAACAACTCTTTGTTTATATCATTTATTGCCTCTACATGTAATTATTTGATATGTCAATGGAGAGTCGCATTCCGACACGTCCTACACAAAGTAAAAAACTAATGATATCATGTAAGAGTAGAATAACACTACCTGGGAGTAGAGAAATTTTCAACATGCTGTTATCATACCCTTTATCTGTTTACCTAGGCAAATATGTACATAATGCTATACAAAAGAGATGTGAAATGTAACATTCCATTATAACATATATACATGTATTGAAGTTAGATTAGTACACTAGTAGAAATAGTTTATAGTTATTGAGTATCATTTGCCATACATTGTATCCAATGCAATTGTTGCGCAATAAACATGCCTACTCACCCAGGGATGGCAGCCGAGAGCGGGATGGTGATGCGCCTGGCGTTGGCCACAAAGCTAGAGGTATGTTCAAATCAAGTACATTTGACTGTATTAGTTACATGTGCAGCATCATTAAAAATGTTTTAACGTTGTTCATTCAAAGGGAAAAATATGTTCTGTTTAAGCTTATATTGTAAGTAATGAGTAGTGTAATGAGTTGTGGGGTCGTGTGGCGTGGCGGCAGCGTGCTCCACTCGGAACCAAGAGATCCCGGGTTCGAGTCCTGAGTCTTGTGCCACAAAGCTAGCTAGAGGTATGACTGTCATCATTTGACTGGAACGACATGGACTGAGAATATGCCTTATGATTTTGACTATTTGTTTTGGTTGATATGTTTTGTTTTATATGATTTGATTACTTTTACTATTTGTTTATATCATTTATTGCCTGTAATACATGTAATTATTTGATTGATATGTTTAATTTTGTCACACACTCACTGTACGTAATGTGGTTTATTTTATGCCTATAATTTCTTATGTGACTTGTTTTATTGGGCTACCTTGGAAGTCAGTTATTATTTGTGATTTTAACGCATTTTAAAAAAATCTTAGATCATGTTTTGGATTTAGTGTATACATAGAGCATCCATGGATTGTCCTTACAAAAATCTGCCATGAACACCAAACCAATACCACCTTTTTCCCTCTACATTATATCTGGCACTCATACTTATCATCGACAAAGTTTGATGCAATAGCAACATAATTTGTGATTTTTATGTAATTTTTAAATCTTAGGTCATGCTGTGAAGCTTTGGAATAAGATGAAATCTAACGCTTGTTGGCTTATACTCTGCTGCGGGCTTCTGACGGTGTCGTCAGTTTTCATCGCCGAATTTGTGTCGCCTGGCATCCTCATACCAGGAAGAAAGGTAGGCAGACAGGTACGGGCTGTATAGCTGGTACAACCGCCCTTCAACGTAGCACACCAGCTTCGCAGGCACGCGGCGCGGCGGCAGCTGGCTACATTACACCGAACGGCTTGTTACAGTAAATCATTGAGCATCTATCTAAAGATGATGCCCCTACTGTACTTGGTGACAGCGAATTCCACTCTGCGATAGTTCTAGGAAAGAATTTGAACACCCCAATCCTTGGTTGATAACTTCTGGTACTTCAAGGCATGACTATTTCTTGTTCTTTTCTGAGCTAGTATATTAGGTACTTGGTAGTTGCCAACTTGGTACGTCCACCAGTTTGTTAGTTTGTTAGTCAATTTACATATGTGTTATTACCGGGTACGGATGTATTGTATTGGGTGGCTGAGCTGTGGGTTTGTGTGTCAGTTTGTCCGGACAGAGCAGCTTGACAGCACGTATTGTCAGACATATTGACAGGTCAGACACATGTAACGGATGTGAGCTTCAAGGTCATGAAAATTCAAGCTGTATTTAACAAGGCACAGACATGGCCCCCAAACGGGACAAACCCTATATTGATAGAAATATTTCAGTTAAGCTCTATTCATCAACATCGAGAATCAACAAATTGACTCGGTGTTGCCATACTTGACAATTCTAAAAACGTGCACTTGTTTATAAATGTAGAATCAGGATGACCTGCCAATCGGTAAGAAGCTAGAGAAGCCGAGCAATCCATGGTGGACGGCGTCCTACAAGGAGAACGGCTTGGATGTCGCTTTTCCCATCCCACCGGCACCTCCGACCAAGTCTGGCACCACGTGGCAGGCCGGATTCCACGAGATGATGAACAACTCAGTTGTCGTCAGCTTGACCACACTGTCTCCACCACCAGGATGGAATTGGGCTGATCCGTACGCAGACGTCACTGAAAATGGTGAGCCCTTACCAGTAACTCTCACCACATGTACACCTCAACCAACAACCAGTAAGTCCGATTCATTTTGTTGGAAGTCAAGTACAGCTACACTTTACTTGCTTATCATACTTTTCCCCATTATCTTTGTAACATGGAGCTTGGTCAATGTAGACTTTTATTTTATTTTGTTTTGCTCAGGTCTTGACAATGCAGAGAAGTGTATCGAGAATCCTTGTCTGCATGGGGCCTGTGTGAACAAAGATGGCGGATACAAATGCACCTGCTCACCTGGATGGACTGGACACAACTGTCAGCAAGGTGAGCTCCTTTTGGTATTAAGTAAAAACTAAGGCACAAATGTGCATCTAATCAGTTTAGCTGCAACTGTGCATTTCTTTCACACAGACATCAATGAGTGTACCGGCAATCCCTGTCAGCATGGAACCTGTGTGAACAAAGATGGCGGTTACAAATGTACCTGCTCACCTGGATGGACTGGACAGAACTGTCAGCAAGGTGAGCTATTTTTCTGCAAGTACCATTCACTTTGCATATATGAATTTTCCTATATCCGTTCCTTCATCCATCCATCTCTTCTCTTTTTGATGTATTGCTACATCGTATGTCACACAGATATCGATGAGTGCATGAGAAACCCACGGCCTTGCAAACACGGAACCTGTGTAAACAAAGATGGCGGACACAAATGCACCTGCTCACCTGGATGGACTGGACAGAACTGTCAGCAAGGTGAGTTATTTTTCTGCAGCTACCATTCACTTTGCTTATATGCAGTTTTCTTCTTTTTCTTTGATGCAATTGCTGACAGTTTCTTCCCCAGAACCACTTCACTGTGGAACAAGCTTCCCCGTGAATGTTTCACCGCTAATTACAACCTCCAACGGTTTAAATCAAGGGTGAACAAATATTTGACCACGCAGTCATCACTGTAACCCAAAACACGTAAGTGGCTCTCACGAGCCTTGTTTTGAGGTGAATTCTGAAGTAAATAAAAAAAATTATTTTATGTCGATGAAGGTTTAGACATCCAGGTAATGAGAAACATAAGGTTACTCAGACAAGTAACTGGATACATTTAGAAAACTGTCAAATGTTCATTTTATTGATACATCGTATTTCTTCATCACACAGACATCGATGAGTGCATGAAAAATCCATGGCCTTGCAAACACGGAACCTGTGTGAACAAAGATGGCGGCTACAAATGCACCTGCTCACCTGGATGGACTGGACTAACTGCCAGCAAGGTGATTTACATTTGTACTTCAACTTGTGTCTTTATGTTGCAACTCATCATCATCATCATTGTTGCCGCTCATCTGTTGATGATGCAGGCCACCACAGACTGCTTTATACTCAAATTAAGGATCTATATCTACTTTCTTGGTTTCTTTAAATACAACGTAGTATAAGTTTATGTATGGAATTTCTTTCTTCATCATGCAGACATCAATGAGTGTGCTGGCAAACCATGCAAACATGGAACCTGTGTGAACAAAGGTGGCGGCTACAAATGCTCCTGCTCACCTGGATGGACTGGGCAGAACTGTCAGCAAGGTAAGTTCTTTCTCCAGACTATTTTGTTAGCTAACAACATTTGGGTGCTGTCCGTGACTGGGTAATTCTACACTCATTTTCTCATCTTCAGGATCATGTTGCTTGAATGTTCATGACTCTATCCTTCTATTTCTTCAATCCTCCATAGCGCAACATAACTATTATTGGCCTGCCATATATAGTGCTGGCCCTTTACAGCCCTCCATTATATTCTTCAATGATTGATTATGAGGACTGCCAATTTTTCCACATTTGCATATTTTTTAGAACAATACTCAAAATTTGACCATATTTAGCTCTTTAGAACAGCAATACCTACTCCTTGTTCAATTTACCATTTTAATAAAATACTTGTAAAAGTCATATAGTACCATGTTCAAAAACTTGTTTCAATTCATATGAGCGTGTTTCTGTGATTCCAAGTATTGCAACTGTTATTTTTGTAAATTTGCAAAGATATTGACGAGTGTATGAGGAACCCCTGCCCGGATAGAGCCTGTGTGAACAAAGATGGTGGATACAAATGCACCTGCTCACCTGGATGGACTGGACAGACCTGTCAGCAAGGTGAGTTATTTTTCTTCTTTTTCTTTCTTTCATACGTGTTATAACAGTGATCTATATTGTGTATGACATACTTGTTTTTCTTTATAACATAGAGATAAATGATGATAACGCAGACATCAATGGGTGTACTGGCAAATCATGCCAGCATGGACGCTGTGTGAACAAAGATGGTGGATACAAATGTGCCTGCTCACCTGGATGGACTGGACAGAATTGTCAGCAAGGTGAGTCCCTTGTTGTCTATACTTTGGCAGATATGTATAATTTTTACGCGGTCAGTGTGTTTCCATTCAGTTCAGCTGCAATTGTGTACATCCCTTTCATTCAGACATCAATGAGTGTACTCGCAAACCTTGTCAACATGGAACTTGTGTGAACAAAGATGGCGGATACAAATGTACCTGCTCATCTGGATGGACTGGACAGAACTGTCAGCAAGGTCTGTGGTTAACGTCCATTTCCGTTTTGGTTTAGAAAAACTCAATATTTTAGTGCTGCTGATATCCTTTTGTGTACACTGTGGTAGAAAAGCATGATTATTATGTTCTCATTGTGGTTTCAGTCAGATCAGCTACAATTGTGTACATCTCTTTCATTTAGACATCAATGAGTGTACCAGCAAACCCTGTCAGCATGGAACCTGTGTGAACAAAAATGGTGGATACAAATGCACCTGCTCACCTGGATGGACTGGACAGAACTGCCAGCAAGGTCTGTGGTTAACGTACATTTCTATTTTGGTTTAGAAATAACTCTGGAAATGCATCTCAATATTCTAGTGCTTAACTGACATGCTGCAAAGATCTACTCACTCACTCACTCACTCACTCACTCACTCACTCACTCACTCACTCACTCACTCACTCTCTCCCATGGCTTAGTCAGCCGTTGGGGCAGATCTACATGGCTCATTTTCTTTTTGTCACACAGACATCAATGAGTGTACCAGAAACCCTTGCCAGCATGGAACCTGTGTGAACAAAGATGGTGGATACAGATGCACCTGCTCCCCTGGATGGACTGGACAGAACTGTCAGCAAGGTGAGTTTCAGACTTGCTGAAATATTCCAGTGTAAAATCTAGAATCAAAGATGTTTATTTTGGAACATCTGAGTCATTTACAAAAAGGAGTGGATGCTACAAGAAACGACTGGCAGTTTTAAAACCCATTCGGTTGGTTGAGAAACAGTTTTCTTGAGTACACTTCTTACTGTTTGTTACCTGTGTATCTGTGCAACACACCAGCTTTGCAGGCACGCGGCGCAGCAGCAGCTAGCTATATCCTACCGAACGACTTGTTAAACTCAATCTTTGCACAATGTCATTTAATTGCAGGAGTTGTCTAAAGCTTTCTACTGATGATGCCCCAACTGTGCTTGGTGGCAACGACTTCCGCACTACAATAGTTCTTGGAAAATAAGAGTTTTTGAACACCTCAATTGGTTGATAAGTCTGATATTTTAAGTCATGACTGTTTCTTGTTACAGGCCGACGTTGCCAGAATGGATGGATTGAATACAACAAGCACTGCTACAAGTTGATGAGGGACAAAGTCAAATGGTCTACTGCAAACTCACGATGTAAGCAGCATGGTGCAAATCTGGCCTCCGTCCAAAGCCGAGAGGAGAACGACTTCATTGCAATGCTCATCACAAATGGTGGGTAACAATATCGATAATATGATTAAATGATATGAGCAAAGATATTTTGGATGAGGAAATATTTCTGATACTAACATTTACTGCCATTTCTTGGCACATTGTAGCCATCATTGCATACTTGAAGCATTTGAAAACAAGGTTCGTGAGGCGTTTACTTTGGATACTGGCCATAAAAGCCTATACAAAACAAGCAATCGTTTTCACATGTTTGTCTCACAGATATCAGTATGCTACTGGATAGGATTGATTCAACTTACTACATTATAAAAAAATGACTAGAAATTTGACAGGCTGTCGCGGTGTGTCACAAGACCAAACCATTATAAGAACTAAATGCGTCTTTTAACAGTTGCCAAAAGCAGTTCCCCGATGGCTAACAATGCTTTACGTTACCACTGTATTTATACGCATGAATGAACTGCCTCATAAGTGACAGACAAATTATGTTTATTCCAGCCCCGAAAGGTACAGTTCGACATTTGGTCTGGTTCGGATTGTGTCGCGGCAAGGGAGGATTTTCGTGGACGGATAGGTCGGACTTGACCTACACAAACTGGGCTCCGGGTGAGCCTAACAATAAGGCTTGGCTGTCATTTGGCCAGGGAGAGCACTGTGGTGCTATGTACAGCAAGGTGAGATCAGTTGTTTCTCTTTTCATAAGTCCACAGCAAGTAGATTTTATGGATGCCATCCTCCTCAGACTCCAAATCTAATGCGATAGGGCGAATTAAAACAAGGCCCATTTTCGGTATGTTGACCACTGGCAACAATTTCCAATCCCCAAATCAGGCGAAAGTTAATACGCGCGCTAATGTCATCCATAAAAATTACTTGCTGTGGCCTGACCTCCAAGTACACGGGGTTTGTTTTCTATGGTTCTGCTTGTTCGCCCGTGGCCTTACATGACACTGTGTAACCTTTCGTTGTATGTATCATTTTCAACAGGACGACCGTAGTTTTTGGGTAGGCGCAAGCGGTAAAAAAGGACAGTGGGATGACAACAAATGCTACACTGGGCTTCCCTACGTTTGCAAGAGGCCAAAGTGATACGGTCTGTGAGTATGTAATCCATTCCTGATCTAAGGAAAGAAATCTAACCCAAGAAACACACAAACTTTGAGGAACTAGTTGGACCAAGGGAAACAGAATTTGAAAACGTAAAAAAAGTAAGGTGTCTGTGCTGTAAAGGTGTAGAAGAATAATGCTCTGGTTGGCCAAGTACTGAGTATGTAATCCATTCCTGGTCTAAGGAAAGAAATCTAACCTAAGAAACACAAACTTTGAGGAAGTCCCTAGTTGGACCAAGGGAAACAGAATTTGAAAACGTAAAAAAAGTAAGATGTCCGTGCTGTAAAGGTGTAGAAGAATAATGCTCTGGTTGGCTAAGTATGTAATCCATTCCTGGTCTAAGGAAAGAAATCTAACCCAAGAAACACACAAACTTTGAGGGAATTCCTAGTTGGACCAAGGGAAACAGAATTTGAAAACGTAAAAAAAGTAAGGTGTCTGTGCTGTAAAGGTGTAGAGGAATAATGCTCTGGTTGACTATGTGTGACAGGGGGTTAACTCCCAACCATTGGTCTGGAGAAGGTCGATAGGCCATGGTCGGCTTAACATTACCATCTTTAAATGACTGTTTGGAAATTGAAATAGACTCAAGTTCCATAGCTTATTGCGGAACATTTTATCATTCAAGTTACTTCAGAATGTATAATTGTGAGACTGAAACTTTGTTGTAATGGCCAGGTCGAACCATAGCATTAGTGGTGACTTGCTTATATTACTATAATTACTAATTAGACATGTAGCTCACACTACTAGTGCATGGTAAGATGGGGAACTGGATTATTGACACAACAGAAGTAAAGAAAAGAAAAGTAAAATATAAAACAAAAAAAGCAGAGTCAGAAAGTGCAGGTATTGGCCCACACAGAATGATATGCAGAGTCTGGTGATCTAGTGTTTGCTTGTGTCAGAGTCAAACTTTCATCTGCCCCAAATGGACGCTGAAAAATGACAAAATCGTACTTAACCCTCAAACACCCGAACTGTTTGGAAATTGAAATAGACTCAAGTTAAGTTCCCTAGCTTGTTGGTGAGCATTTATCATTCAAGTTACTTCAGAATTTATAACTGTGAGACTGAAACTTCGTAATAATGGCCAGGTCGAACTATAGCATTAGTGGTGACTTGCTTATATTACTATTACTAATTAGACATGTAGCTCACACTACTAGTGCATGGTAAGATGGGGAACTGGACTATTGACACAACAGAAGTAAAGAAAAGAAAAGTAAAGTAAAATATAAAACAAAAAAAGCAGAGTCAGAAAGTGCAGGTATTGGCAGAATGATATGCAGAGTCTGGTGATCTAGTGTTTGCTTGTGTCAGAGTCAAACTTTCATCTGCCCCAAATGGACGCTGAAAAATGACAAAATCGTACTTAACCCTCAAACGCCCGAACTGTTTGGAAATTGAAATAGACTCAAGTTCCCTAGCTTATTGCGGAACATTTTATCATTCAAGTTACTTCAGAATGTATAAATGTGAGACTGAAACTTCGTTGTAATGGCGAGGTCGAACTATAGCATTAGTGGTGACTTGCTTATATTACTATTACTAATTAGACATGTAGCTCACTACTAGTGGCAAGATGTAAAACTGGATTATTGACACAACAGAAGTACAGGGTTGGGCCCACACAGAATGATATGCAGAGTCTGGTGATCTCTTGTTTGCTTGTGTCAGAGTCAAACTTTCATTTGCTCCAAATGGACGCTGAAAAATTACAAAGTCGTACTTAAACTGTAAGGAAAAGTTTCATTATCTGAACATGCCAGTGAGGTCCAAACTTTTTTTCATATCATATTTGACATAAACGTTAATATATGTTTCTATTCAATACAATGCTATATTTACAAATCACTTTTACGTCTTATAGAATTGTTACATTCTGCTGACTTTTAAAAGGGTTGAAAAGGGAGATACAGCTCTTCATTACAATGTTTTACCATAGATCCATTGTAGAATGTGTGCGACTGATGCATTGATTCTTCACTTGAAGAATCTCAATTTACTTTAACAAGGATCTATTCACCAAGTATGGAAAATCAAGTCCCAACGATGTACATATACATGTATGAAGAGTACATTCAGGCTACAAATGATCATTTAGAAGCCAAGAAAAACATTCAGAGATACAGACATCCCGATGAAATGGAACAAAACTGACTGTAAAGCTTACAGCAACAGGCTATGATGATGGAAATGACTTGTTGACTGAATCCATACACCTTATACAATGTATAAGTTTGCCAACTTCCTAACTAGCTGGAAACGTTGTTTAAATTTTAATATGATGGAAGACATAAATTGAGAAAACTTGGAATGACTTATCAATGCCATCTCCTTCTCACAGGTTTTTGAGATTTTGGTTGAGACAAAAATATCACCTGCACAGAGTTGAAGGGTCTACAATGGTCCAAGTACAAGAGGAATCTAGAGAAATACAAATGTACATGGTGCATGTAGTTACACTTGTAAACTGTCTTCACTTTGAAAAGGCTTGAAAGATCGGTGTTTTAGATGATATGGTAAACAAAAAAGATGATCTGAATACAAGGCATTTCACAGCACATTAAAATGTTTGTGTATCTTATTTGTTTGTTTTGCATTACTGGTAGGCTGATTTTATAGGTAGGTGTAACACACAAGTTTTGTACAATAACTACGAGCTGCATAAGACCAGACTGTAAGTTTTGATACACTCACACCAGTATAGACCCCTTCTCTTTTCAATTGTGGTGGTATTTTTGATATGCTCTGAACTGGTCCAAAGATCTGAAAAAATGTAACAAAAGATTTATTATATAACCTCAATAGAAAACTAATATTACACTGGGCTACAAAAAAATATATGATATATGGACCAAATGTACTGCAAATGAATGGATGGATGGATGGATGAAAAGATCGGATGGATGGATTAAAGGATGAATGGAAGGGAGGAAATATGACTGACTGAATGACGTATGCCATATGGTTCACAAATTCCAGTTCTTTGCATAAAACATGGAAATAAAACCTTGAGTACACCACACACTACACAAAAAAACACTGATTTTTTAATAGAGGAACATTGGGCGTTGTTCCTGTGTTTGTTGGCTCACCCTTTCGGAGAAATTTCCAGTCGCAATATTTGCCTACGTATGCATCAACACCGCACTGCTTAACAGCGGGCAATGATTCAACTTCAACATTAGTATAAGTGTCCAGTTGGTGAAGATATTGGAACTTATAAGTAATCACTCCAGGAATGAAGATGCGAGAAGTGCTGGGATATGAACTGTATTCTTGTCAGAACATGTGCAGTCCGTGACC